CTCCTCCGCCTCCCCCGCCGCCGTCAGCGCCGAGCCCGGCGCGGGGCGCATGCGCGGCATCCGGGAGGCGCCGCGGGGCATTGTGGGGGGTGTAGTTCTGCCGGGGGGAGGGGAGGGGCGGGGCCAAGAGGCAGCTCCTGTCGCCCGCGGGCCCCTCTTGGTGCGTAATCAATTTAGATCGGACGCCTGTGCAAAATAGTTCTCGTGCCACAAAAGTGGCCATCCAGCTATGAGAAGAGTTGACCTGCTACAAAGTTAGTGCTTGAAAATGTGTTAACAGCTTTATAGCTGGTTTCTATCCAGCATTGATCTGAACGTGTGGCAGGGCCCTACCTACCAAGTCACACCCAAACCCGGGCCAGGACACTCATTTGCACGTGCATCTTGAAGGGCAATGGTCTTCAATTAGCTTTCCTAGTCCTCTGAGCAAAGCATTAATATTTCAGATGCTTCACAGGTATTTAAAGTGGGACAATGAGCATGTCCATCTGTGGGATCCCAGGATAAAATTCTGTCCCAGAGTAAACTTGTCATTTTTTTAGCTTAAAATGGCAGCGAAGTAACTTAAACTCCAAATAGCTTTGCACCCTATTTCTCAAGGAGCTGTAGCCTCATAAGCCCTCCATAATTTGTCTACTAATGTGCAGAAGTTAGGATGAGTAGCTTAAAAATTAGGTTAACTATTATTTAAACAGTAGTATTCAAACATGGTAAGCTTAGGTAACTCAAAACTGTTCACAGTATCCCTCAAGGGCTGTGGCTGCAATTGGAAAAACATTAATAGATAATTCACAGCTGGCCTATGTAAACTCTATTCAAAAACTGCATGTCAAGCCTGTAAGACTGGAGATAGTTGAGGTACTCAGTCCACAAAGAGATGAGAATATTTATTGAGATGTGCATGTTGCTTACACTATAGGAACTACTGTTGTACTGGACAATCCAGTATTCACCTCTAGCTCATGCCCCTCATCCAACCAAACTCTGGTGAATCGACATAAAGCAGTATGAAGGCAGAGCTGAAGCTGTGTTAAAATAGTACTGAAATGTAAAACTTTTAAGTGCAAAGTCAAGTAATCTTATTCCTTTATATTTGTAATGTGCTTTTACTCAACTACAGTAATTTAAACTCTTTGATCTAGAAGTACACCAGAAGTATTAGGATGAAATTAAGAAAAAGAAAATTTAGGCTGACTTGCAAGACATATTTTCATTGTCAGAAGCTATAGTACCTGTAGAATAATTTCCCAAGGGAAGTAGCGGAAGCCCCATTACTCAAGACATTTAAAATTAGACTAAACTGCTGAACAGTGGAAAATGAATAATCCTGTATTTTGTATGAGTCAGAAAGAGCTAAGAAGGTCTTTTCCACCTTCCACTGCTAGGATTTTATTTTTTGTTCCAATTCATGAGTAGGCCAAATCCTACTTACTTTGTGATATCTGCCAAGGATACAAGTTATAAAGATAGTAGAATAAAGTATACTGGAGAGAAATCATATGAGCTGCTAAAAGATCAGCTTCTGCAGCAGTTTATCTGATGCACTGCTACAAACTGCCAGGGAGTTTTAAGTCCCCAACAAATTCAAATCTTTATTAGAAAATGTTAAAAATAATGGTTATTTACATGTCTACATAGCTGATGTATGTTAATACAATCCAAGGCATGCAGTTAGACATGCACAAGGCCCAAGGGGTTAATAAGTTTCAATGCCATGAGGCCCTGTGCACCATAACAGTATTAGTACAGAGTTGTAAGATGGCAAGACATTCTTAGACAGTGGTTTTAGCATAGGATGCACAACTGCTGAGGTAGGGAATAGTCATTAAAAGGCTTTGTTGGTTAATGGTGTATATAAGAGTGGTTCAATCCATCCCCTTGGTCTTGGCTCTGGTCAGTGGTCTTGAGCAGCTTGTCTTCATACTGGCACATACTGCAAAGTCTTAGAACCCCCAAAGGGCTCTAAGTTAATTCAGTTGGATAAGAGAGAAAAATCTTGAATGAAATTCTTCCACATCCTGTTATAGACCCCAAATAGAAGGTTCAGATGGGATTACTGAACAAAGTTTTATGTTTATTAAACAATAGCTTCCAATTGGTCTGACTTTTTCCTTTGTGCTTTATCAAGAAATCAAGCCCAGTAGAATTTAATCTAAGGCTGATCCCAACATTTCACACCTGCATTCCACAGCTGGCACCAATCTTAGTTTCCAGAAGAGGCAGAGAAAAAGCATGCGATATCTGTGTAGCTTTGAGGACCACAACTATAATGTGAACAACCAGGTGCTGGCCTTCTCCCTTCACTGTTCCTAACCATGAGACCTAATCCCCACTGTAGGCAGGTGTTGAGTGCATTTAGGTCATGGTGCTCCCAAATTCACTTTTAAGAAAAGCTATCTAAACACAACTTAAACTACATCTGTGCTGAGTGATTCCTGAGGCCAGATGAAGAAGATGGGAACATGAGCAAAGCTGTTTTCTCTGTTATTTTTAAATGCTGGTGAGTTGTTGGTGCTTGAAATACCATGTGAGTTTAGGAATGTGCAAGCAAGAGAGCTGTCAATCTGGTTTAGTCATGATCTAACCAGAAGAAAATTGGGAAACCTCCTGCCAGCAATCTTAGCGCACACAGAGGAGAAGAGATGGCTATAGAGTAGACCCAGAATAAGGAGCATGATGGCATGTCTGGGATGTGTGGGTGAAAGCCCTGGGTTTTTAAGGCGCACCATGGGTACGCCCCATGTAAGCAGACACAGTAAACAGGCTTGGTTCTTTCAGACTTTCATTATCTCGCACACCCATACAACTCCATATCAGGCTAAAGTGCCAGCTCTATTTTCACACCCATCTTGCTTTGGTATGGAGTAAGCATTGGATGAACCTCCTCCTTCAGGAACCTTGCCACCTGTTCAAGGAAGAGGAAAGGAAGGTTAGAAAAAGGAATGGGCAGAGATGCATAACATGCCTCTTCTCAGCCATATAGGGGGATGCAATTTAGATCATTCAAGCCGTAATGGCTCACAGCATCTTCAGTCTCTTCCCACTACCTCACCTGCTGCGGTGCACGTCCAGTGAAGGATGTGGGGTCCAGGAGGCTCTCCAAGTGTCCCTGGATGGGGCTGAAGTAGGGATCAGCACGGATACGGGCAATAAGGTCATTATCGCCCCCTTCCTGTTTCACAACTGCAGCTGCCTGCTGGGAAAGGACTCGTATCTTCTCATGACAATCCTACAGAGGGAAAATAGCCAGCAAACTGTTACAGACACACACTACAGGCCTACAGTCAACTGGTGCACTGAACAGGGAAAAACATCAGAGACTACAGCACCATGTGAAAGTGAAACAGCTAGAGCTTGGCCTGTATCAGTGATGCCCAACCTTTTTGCCTGGTGGGCTGGATCCAGCTGGTGCTTCTGATTCAGCACAGGCATGATGGGCACCATTGGGAGGGGGGAGGTCAGGCCAGTCCCAGCACACTCTGCAGATGAAAGAGGCTTGACTTGGCTCTGTGGGGAGGAAAGGGGGTTTGGCCCAGCCCTGGGAGAGTTAGGGGCCTGGCCAGGCCCCAGTGGGAGGTAAGGGAGCATGGCTCAGTCCCAATGGGAGGAAAGGGGGCATGGCTTGGCCCTGATCCAGAAGCAGGTGCAGGAGCACACAGAGTGCAGAGAATGGGGTGGACAATTAAGGATCTTTTTTAAAAAGAGCTATGAAAAGATTAGGAAAAATCTGAAAAAGCCAACATTTTGTACTGCAGGTACCCTAAAATGTTAAAGGAATTAAGTTAAACCTGCTGATCCACTGACAGTTTTGAAGAAAATTGGAGAGGCATCTGAAAGGAGGGGAAAAAGAGCAAATGTGCTGGTGCTAACTGCACTGCTCGGACATTCAGGAGAATTTAAGTGGGTTAGGGTCATAAGCCCCACTGAAAGCTCCAGTATCTCAGACTTTTCTTAATACCCCATATATGGTTACCACAGTGCAAATTTAGCTCACTAAGGCAAGTGGAAACCATAAGCAAGAATGAATCTTGACAAGCAACTCAATTACTTCTTCCAAACTGGGGAAAAATACTAGATGAAGGGAATAAAATCCAAACATTATTAGTTTGTATTAGGATAATCAGTAAAGTTCAAAGAGTTAATTCCAATTGTCTTGGATTCGAGACCTCTCAACTATACTGAAAACTGGCTAAAGGACCATAAACAAAAGTTAATGATAAAAATACGCTATGCTGAATAAGGACAGTCACAAAGATGGGTGTTCAGTGCAGACTTATTCAGCATTTTCAATGACCCAGCACTGATTCATCCTTTTAATTTATGAGAGAGATTCAGTTCGTCAGATTTCTCATTTGTAGGCGCTCATCTTGCACTCCAAGGGCCTTTACAGCAAACAACAATGACAATTAAAAGTGAACACACTTATCTTATATAGACAGAGACAACTCACTCCATCACAGATGGAAGGATAACCCTCACAGTGCTTCTAATACAAATATAAGAATTCCCATGGTGTTAAAGCAATGATTATAAGGCTAAGAGGTTTGAGGTCTGACATACTACTGAATTGTTAGAAGGAAGTTGGAGGGAGTGGGGAAAACAATCCCAACATCCTCATTCCCCAAAAGGCCAATCCTGGCAGGCAAGTATCAGATTTCTCAGTTGTTTATGTACCTGACGATTGCCCCCAGCTTTCACCATAGCCATGATAATATTCTCTGTGGCCATGAAGGGTAGCTCCTGTCGGATCCGTCTCTCAATCACCTGAAAAATACAAAAAAACCCCCAGGTATAATGGAAAAGACAAGCAACACATTTAAATCATTTTCTCTTACCCCATAATGCCCTGCTAATCAAAACATTGAGGGCCAACATGCTTTGAAACCATATCCTACTATGGTACATGGGATTCCTATTCATATAACTGTCTTCAATTTTTTAATCTTAGTAAAAGACCTCTCACAGGGATGTTGCTATCTCTTAAAGATATAACAATATCTCAGGGCAACAAGTAAGGACATAAGAATTGCCATTTACTGGGTCAGACCACAGGTCAATCTAGCCCAGCATCCTGTGTCACAAAGTGACAGAGTGGGTGCTGAAAGGGAGACAGAACTAGGTATGACCAGGGTTTTTCTGCTATTCCTCTCACTTGCAGCCTCCAGCATTTAAGGTCTAGGAAGTTCTCATTCAGAGGCTGTACCCCCAACTCCCATGCACAATAGCTACTGATGCCCCTTCCCTTCAAGAATTCATCCAATTTAATTGTCAGCATCCACAACATCTGGTGGCAATGAGTTCCTCACCTGAATTACATGCCATGTGAAAAAGAACTTCCTTTTGTTTGTTTTAAATTTACTACCTACTAGTTTCATTTTGTGATCCCTAGTTCTTATAGTGTGTGTAAGAGAGAATAAATCCCCATTTACTTTCTGTTCACCATTTAGTATTTTCTAAACCCTTATGTCACCCCCCAGCATCCCCTTTAAACTGAACAGGCCTAGCCTCCTTAGTTTCTCCTCATATGGAAGCCCCTCCATGACACTAATCATCCATGTTGCCCTTCTCCGTACCTTCGCTACAAGTCCCATAGGTCAGTCAGACACCTAAGAGAGGACAAATAAATGTTTCCTTTGATTTGTTTCAAAACCTGTCATCCTAACTTCACCAAGTGCCCTTTTACTTCTGAACTGCAAAGAGAAATGCCATGCCAAGGAACTGGAGGGCAGAGTTCAAGGACCCTATGGAACATCCAATAAGAAGCTGGCAGGAACTCTACACTGAGCATGAAAGCTGTGTTCTTATACGCCAGTGCAGTGCTAAAAGGCATACAACTCTAAACATTTTCCCCAGTTTTACCTTGGGATAGACCACGAGTCCCTCGGAGATATTCTGCAGTGTGCTCAGTATGATGTCTGCTGTCAGGAAAGCCTCAGCCAGACACACGCGCCTGTGAAGCAGGTGTAACCAGGGGGCCTGGGTCAGCAAACAAGCAGAATGCAGTCTAACCTCCGTGCTCCTAGGCATGCATTTCTAGAAACATTATTGTAGCATCTTTGTCAAAAGCCAGAGCTATTCCTTTAAAGCACTTCTTGATGGTGTATGCAACACCTAAGAAAGCTTAAAGCAACATCTAGGATGTGCAGCTGGGATGAGCCAGACTATTTGCTACTCATGATTATTATACCATTCCCTCCTACTGCTGGCTTCCCTTTTTATAAGATCTTTACCCTGTAAGCTTTCTTGTGAATGTTTCCCAGCTCAAAGGAAACCAGCCAGCAACCTCTGGGCTCTGTTAATTAATAAGGTTGCTTTTCAGCAAAGTGACAGTTACCAGAATGAGGTTAAGAGCTGATGGTTTGAGTTCTGAATATTTTTTGATAAGTCAAAGAGCTTTCCTGCATAAAAACTTTCATACTGCTGCACTGAGACCACTTACCCCAAACTAGCCTAAACCAGTATCTTCCTTGATTTCACTGTTTTTAAGGGCCTCTCTGCCCACTACTCTTCCCAGGGCTGATGAGGGAGGACACAAACGGACCTGTTTGCACTATCATCCAAAGTGCGTTCAAACCACTGCACGGAGGCTGTCTGGAGAGGGTTCAGAACTAGGGTCACTAGGTGACGGGCCAAACTGCAGCAACGCTCTGAACGCATTGGGTTCCTCTTGTAAGGCATGGCACTTGAACCTGCATACAAGAGGGTGGAAAAGGAAGAGGAGGATGGAAACAGGGGTGCAGAAGAAATGCAGAGATTAGAGATCAAAGCAATACAGCCCTCCTCAAGAGAACATGATATGTTAACATTTGCATTTCAACCTGAAAACTCAAACTATGCAAGTCTTGGACAAACACTTCCCCTCCCCCAAGACTGGAATATCAGCACTCAGGGACAGAAAATGTGACCTCAACTTCTAAACCTGCCAAACTAACACATGCATTGGTAATACATAATAAGCCAAACTATTTTAGCACGCTGTATTTAGCACAGTCTTTATAAGCTTCTTGTGGCTTGCAGGGTGCAGCAGCACATCTGCTTGAGTGTTTGTCCTTGAAAAAAAAAAAAAAAAAAAAAAAAAAATCAGTGGTTTTCACTGATAGTCCTTCCCTCTAGCAAGCATGACAAAGCCTGAGTGCTCATTTTTAAACAGCAGAAGACAGAGTGACATTGAAAGGCTGAGGTAAATGTAATGGGCAAGGAGGAAATCGCTGACTCAGTCCTACAGCATGAGCTTGGGTGGCTGCACCTTTTTCTATGCCACTGTCCACAATTCTGGAATTGTCTCTCCCTCTGCATTGGGTCACTGACATTTTTCTGGGAAAGGTTCCAGCCTGTTTTTACTCTTCCAACTATCAATTAAGTTCAATGGAAGTTGAGTGCTTTGCTACTCAGTCAGGCTCATTTATGCTGAGGTGGGATGCAAACACACTAGGGTCTCTGCTCTGTCAAAACATATCAAAAAGGAACAGAAGAGGTATTTGCTTTTAGTTAGTGGGTCTAGAACCCCTAGGGCACAGGCAGATTGGATAAATCAAACATTACCTAAAAGCATTTCTGCCAGTGACATTAATATTAGTGTTGCTGGGAAGAAAGTGCTGATGAGGAATTGCCAAAATGCATCGGAAAGTAGGTTAAGTGGACCAAGCATCATACGCTAACATCTGCTACTTCTTACCAATCTGATCTCTTTCAAAAGGCTCCTCTATCTCCTTGAGATTGGCCAGCAGGCGGATGTCAGTACAGATCTAAGGAAAGCAGTAAGACCATATTTACACATGCACACAGATGCTGTTGGTGTGCCTAGAGACTTGTGTATGTCTACACCCATACAGTTAACTGAGAAGAAGAATGGACACCCTTAAAAATACCTACTTCAGCACTATGGGTTTAATATTTTCATGAATGCTAAGGACTTAATCCACACTACAGACCATATCTGGAACCAGATCAGACAACCAGCAAATTGTTGCAGCATCTCCCACATGGTTGCAGCACCTCAGAGGAGCAAGGCCTGTTTCCCAAAGGACTGGCACTGAAGCTTTCAAACGGATATATAGAGCTCAAGTCAAGAGAATGCGAAGGAGAGAACCCATATTTGTCCTACTAAAAGGCAACAGGACTCCAGGTAGGGCAAGTGAGAAAAATTGATCAGTGAACACTAATACAACTTTCTAAAGGTACAAAGTGAAATAAGACAGGACAAATGACAACATGTTATTAGTCAGAAGAATAGCCAGACAATTTAATGCTCATCTCATTAAGCCTTCTCTTAGTGGGAGAAACGTGCTGGGTGGGAGAAAAGAGAGTCGAAGAGCAACTGCTGAGAATGACTTCATACACACTTTCACCATGTGGATATAGTACACATTAATATTAATTAATATAGTACACTGATACTTGCAGGAGGCTGCTTTTAGCTGACCTTAGGGATTTTCCCTCCCATACAGAATTTGGAGGCAGGGAGCTCACCTTGTGTATGGATGCCCCCAGACTGGCCAGCACACTTAGGACTTCAATATCCACTTTGCGGCTATATGTCTGACCTGTTACTATATAAGCTCTGGAAACGAAAGAGAGAAAGTTGTCTGGATACATGCACCAGGAATGCAGCAAGACAGAGTGAGAGGAAACACTGCATGGGCACACTGATGCAGAACCCCGTCTTGATGAAACACCATGAAAGGACTGCTTGGTAATTTGCTTGGACTCCTCACTTTTCATTCATACTTGCTGGAAACAACATGGGTGAAAACAATCTCGCTTTTGCCTGTTCTTGGCTTGGCATACAGGCACAAAGAGGCAGCAGAAGCAGAATAGGAGGTCATGCTCTGACAGAGTGAGGTGGAATTTCCTTCTTAGAGCTATACCATGAAGCAGGGACCAATTGGGTGAAGATGCCCTTGACCCCAAGCAGCACAGAAGTTAGTTAGCTGCCTGGCAGAAGCTGAGTCCATGAGAACGGTGGTCATCAACCTTTAGTAATTCCCCTCTCAGAGCATCTCAGGTTACTAAGCAAGTATTTTACCTACCGCTTAAATCCTGCCATGGCAGTCACCAGCCTGTCGAGCTCCTGCACCTCAGGGGAAAAAAAGAAGACAGGAACCTCAGAATGCAAAGACTGAAGAGTGAACTATGCTGGCTAAGGGATCCTGACAACTTCCTTGCCGTAAGACTCGCTAAGGTGCACTGCCAGCACGCATCAATCTTGCCCTGAAGCACCCCCTACTATTCCAAATGGGCTTCAACTCCACAGAGTTTTGCCAACGTATCTCCTTAATAAGGATGCAGCATCCAAAACTCATTTGACTCAAGAGTCCCCATCTGACCTGCACAATTTCCCCTCCCCACCATTCCCCTTGCTGGAAATTCTGACCACTGTCAGAAAGTCACTCACTTTCTCATGATTGCCTTCAAAGAGCTGCAGGAAGCTGGCCTGAGTGCCAGTGGTGCCTTTCACCCCACGAAATCGCAAGTCATCCCGTCCACGCTCTAGGTTCTGCAGGTCCATGCACAGGTCCTGGATCCACAGGCAGCAGCGCTTTCCCACTGTGGTGAGCTGGGCAGGCCTTGGAACAACCAGGGCAGAATGTAACTGATAACCAGCACAACAGCTCCACAAAGACTATGCAGGAAGGAAAGGGTTTGGATACATTGTGCCATCAGGACTCTGCTACCCTCTTTCCTCTCAGATTCTTCTGCTCAGTCCCATTTGTGGGGAAGAGCCAAATATACATATATTAAGTGACACCCAGATCTGCAGGAATTCTTAGGTAAATATACCAAGGAAGAATTCAGCACAGTAAGAAAATTTATGTATTAATTAACAGGTTTCATCCAAGTAAGAAATAATTAATGATGGATATTAGGAAGCATTTCCCAGCTATGCGACCTATTAGAGTTACTTGAGGAAAATGGTAGGAACCCTGCTGCATGGGACATTTAAAACTGGACAGGGCAGAGTTCTGGAGAACACGTGGAAAAAGCCTGAATAGGTAGAGGAGAGCTGACAACATGCGACTGAAAAGGCTCCCCCAAGTCTCTAGCTTCCATGACTGTCTCCATGAGGCTTAAACCCACAAATTTGGTCTATTTTTAAAAGCTATTGTATTGGAAGCATCTCTCTCTCTACTGGTCCAGTAAATTATAGGAACATTTAAGCAACAATTTCTGTAAGATTTAAATAAAAGGATAAGTGCTCCCCCTGCTGGATCCCTAAGAAAAGTTCAATGGGTATCCTTGGGACTATGCTGATGATACAACAGAATACAAATGGAGAAAAACTGTTAATGCTGACATTCAAGGACACAAAGGACATGTAGACTATTGCGCCCTGAGCCAGGTAGCTCACTGGGCTATTGGGCAAATGTTTTAATCCAGAAGCATTCGGATACACAAATTAGAGTGGGACTGATTAACCTAATTAAATGGTTTTTTTTTTTTTTTAATTTATAAAATGAATATCTCAGCCTCTAGGCACAGAGTTTTCAGAAATAATCCTTATTTTATTAATCAGTGTTAAAATTAAGATTTCTACCAGCAAATCAGCAAAATATTTGGTTCTTTAGCCATGCTCTTGCCTGGGGAAAAACTACAGACCTCCCATTATAGTGGGAAAATGATCAAATATGTCAAAATCAACACAAATCACTCGGGATGAGATCGCTTTTCCTATCTAAGGCATTTCCTCAGCACCCATGTTTCCTGTGTAGCAGGAAAGGCTACACAACTTCTAGTGATTCTTTGATGAGCTATAACTTAGGGAAAGGTGGACCCAGAATTTGAGCCCTGTGGACTAGCCTATTTTTTCTCCATCTGCACTCACCACTTAAGACTTGATATCTCCCCATTTCAGAGGCAATTTACAGTATAACCAAGACATCTGATCTGGCATGAAATGTCCCAAACTCCTTAATTTTCCACTATTCTCCACCACCAGGAGTGAAGAAATAGGGTTTACCTCAAGGAAACCTTTCTAGTAGCCATGCCACAAGATAAGACCCATACCCTCCCTTTCCCCATACCAAGCTGTTGCTCTGTTTTCTGCTCCCTGCCCAATCTGTTCCCTGCTTCCTCCCCAATCTGCTGTTATAGTGTGAAGCCCTGAAGGCAAATAATTGCTCTCCCTCACAGCAGCATCAGATTAACCCTTTTCCCCAGGCACCTCCTTGACCAGGCCTCTGACCAAATCCTTCCCCAACACAAGGTAAAATGGTTATTCAAAAATAGTCCAGCATCCTGCATGACACTGTCCAATACCAAGCATACTGCACAACAGCTATGAGCCTCCCATGAAACAAAACTGTGCAATCCTTTAACATTTGGGGGGATTTTTAGTAACTACCTGTGTGTACCCTAAAACATGAATACTGACAAGTCTTGTAATGATAGCTGCAGACACTAACAGCAATATTTTTTGAGCTTCTGCTGAAGCCAGTTGAACTGACAGACAGGAAAAAAAAATGTTGCTGAAAACATGACTAGAATTTGATGTCTAAACAGAGGCATGGTGGGAGCCTTGCCTTCAGGTACAGTGTGGAACATGAGTTTGTACTGCTGATGTTTACAGTTAAATGGTTCTTAGCTCAGATTCAAGGGGAGCAATCGCTGCCTGCTGTAGTTTCCCACGGTAAATGGAAATTTACACATCTATTCCTTTTTAAAAATCTCACTACATCGCAGGTCAACAGTATCTAAAAGTAGCAGGCATCACATATTAGACACAGTAGAAAAGAAGGGA